GTCAGAAGTAAACCCTAAACCTCCTTTGAATTTCTCCCCTCCCAAATTCCAATCCAAAATTCCCTAGAACCACTCACAAACACGGATCCAAACAGACTTCATATCTTCCATTCCCCTATTCTTAATAAAATGCTCAAAAGTTAACCATTGAAAAAACGAAAGTTTGTATAGCACAACAATCCAGTCTCTTTGTGGCCTCCTTTATTGGCACTGATTATATTGTGTTAATGGACTAAGCAAAACCTGTTTCTCTTAAGTCCAGTTTCTTTGAAGTTCGGTTCAGTTCAAGCCTAGTTTCTTCCTTTCATTCCCACTATAGTCTATTTGTCCCTCCTTCCTTCTTTCCTTTCTTTCTTTACACAGAGTCTATTGGCTTGAACTCAACACAATCATCTTGCCTCAGCCTCTTGAATGCTCAGATGACAGGTGTGAGCCATTGCCCAGTTCCACCTCTCATTCTTTTAAATCACACTGTGATCACAAAGAACAAATGAGATTTATGGAGCTTAGTATAACATATATAGTAATTGTCCAATAAATGACAGTAGTTGTCATGTTGCCACACTAAAAGTACTAGTCACATATCCTTCAGTTCAGTGTGTCTCATATTTGATTATGAGGATCTTGTTCAAATGCAAAATACATTTCAGTGGGTGGAAAGTAGGACCTGAGATTCTGTTATTCAAAATGTTTCTGGTTGATGCTAATGCTGTTGATCCAGGGACCATAACTTTGAACACAAGAAACAGATTTTAGTAAGCTTTCAAAAAATGTATATTTACCTTATCTGATCAGCTGGATAGTAGGCTTTTAAAGGACAAAGATTATCATTTCTCTTAGAATCATATAAATATGCTTAATAAACATCTGTTGACTAATCATATCTGTGGAGATCATCATATTCTAGATGATTAAGAATGCCTATGACCTAATACCTGTTGGAAACAGAAGCAAACACCCATACCTAAACACTGAATCGAACTAGAATCCAGATGCAGATGGAGAAGACAAGACCGGGTTGCAGAAACACATAGAGACAGCTGACCTGAACAAGGAGGAGCTAACGGGCCCCCAGACTGATAGCTGGGAATCCAGCATGGGACTGACTCAGGCCCCCCTGAATAAGGGTCTCAGCCAGAAGGACTGAGCAGTCTAAGGGACCTCAGACAGTGGAACCAGGATGTATCCCTGGTGCACAAAAGGACCTTGCGAACACATCCCCCATGGAGGGATACTGCCTTAACCTAGAGACAGGAGAGAAGTCCTAGTCCCTACTTCAAATGTCCTGACAGATCTACATGACCCCACATGGATGGCATTGCCCTACACGTGGAATTGGGGTGGGGGGATGGGAGGGGAGGGTGGTCAGGGTGCATGTGAGAGGGCAGAGAGGTAAAAGGGAGGGAAGGAGGGAGGGAGGAAGAGTAGGAGGGAGGGAGGGAGAGAGAGAGAACTGGGATAGACATGTAAAATAGTAAATTAAATTTAAAAAAAAGAATTTCTGTGACATACTAATTTTCAAATCAAATGCTGAAGTATGCATATATGAAATGCTTACTTGATGACTGGGAGTCACAGTTGCTTACTTGCATGGAGGCAAGGGAAAATCTGGTAGAAAACTTAACCTCCTTGCCAGTGAGAATATAATAGAAGAGGCAATAATGTGTCAAATGATCACATGCTCTATGAAAAGTAAAAAATATTAAAATGCAATCTTAATTGCATTTCAAATTTAGCTATAAACCTTAAAAATATGTGTATTGGGGATAATACAAAACCCAATAATAATTAAATAGTATATCATGAGCTTAATTTCATTTGTTAGAGGCACATACATATTTTTCAACAAACTTTTTGCATGCAATTAATCTGAAGCTCTCAGACTATAATGGAATTTCAAGAAAAAGAAAGAAACAACTTCCAAGTCAGAAGTCAGGGCTACAAATTACACTGCCCACAATTACACTGATAAGAAATTCAAAGGAATCTTCTGTATACTAAGGATGATCTCAGAAGCTACCTCTTTTAAGCCTTTCTTTAAAAGCCAAAATTATTTAGATGCTTGTTAAAAACCTTCTTTATGTTAACATTCTTAATTCAGATGGGACCAATACTCTTGAGTTCTGCTGGGATACTGCATTCTGCCTATTCAAGCACCATAAAAATGGCATTGGGTATATATAATACCTACTTACTCAAGTCTGTCTACACAGCTTAAACTGTGAGACAAATTATTTAAATTAGCCATTAGAGCAAAAAGCACCCCTGTAAGCTACTTGTTTGTCATAAGCAGCCACCTGCTCCTTAATTCACAGACCTCTCAATAGAATCACTCACCAATATTTAACTAATATTAACACAATATTTGTGTTTTAAGCACATTTAGACATGTTAGAGGATGACACAATTCTGGGAATTGTTATTAACTAAAAAAAAAAAAAAAAAAAAAACAGAAGCATGGAACAACCACAAGTCCCAGACTCAAACTGGGCTTAAGAGTTTTAATAAATCAATGTTATTACTTCAGAGAGAAACACAAAGCAATTGAGAGTCAGCCCACAGAAAATGAATCCTATTACTTCCATCAGAAGTCTAGTCTCTAGGGCAAAGCAGAGTCTCTGGTTTATACCAGGCACTCTTCCTAGAAAATAACCCTATGTATGGAGAATTTCAAATCTCAAACCTTCCATTTCTAACTAAACAGACTCACAGTGAGCCTCAGCATCCACATAAAAACATTGATCTGCCTATCTGTGGGTATCTAACTAGCAATTAGAACCAACAAATAGCTGCAGTGGGGTAAGAGAGAGACCAGGACAAAGCTCAGAAGAATCAGATTCTTGCACAGAAAAATGAAACATAGATGTCAGTCTCATTCCTTCCTGTTTCCTATCATTTCTTTATGATTCATTTTTATGTGTTCACAAATAACCAAGATAATAATAATTCAACCTCACTAATTCCTGAAATAAGCTTATCCAATAACTCTAGATTCCTTTGTTAACTGTACCTGCTGTGTCACCCAAATGAGTGGCTTTTCCAAAAGGCCTCCAACACTGTCCATCCCCTAAAAGGAAGTGTATTACTACTATTGATCACAGTAGCAGTCTAATAATGGGGCAGTACAGTAGGATGGCAGCAGTGAAGCCAGATGGTCCTGAAGGCAATGTCACTGTACCATTTGTAAGCTGTATGGCTGTAACCTTGACACTTACCTTCTCTAAGCCTCAGTTTGACAGTGGTACCAAGTGGAATATCACATAAGAGTCCTTATAGAGAGTCTGACATGCAGCGGGTGCTTAAACAGAGCTTAGTTACCCTCCCTTCCTCCTGAATAAACACTTGTTGATTTGAATGTGGAGTAATTCTTCTAGGAGACTGCCAGTGGCACTGCTGTTGTTCTTTCCCCAGTACCTTCTTAGAGGCACCTTTGTTATTCCCTCATAAAGGTGTTTGCTACTCTGCTACCTTGAAAAATAAAGGCCAACCACACAAGTCACCCAAAGGAAATGATTCCTGCATGGCAACCCCAGTCAGCAGGACATACATCTCCAGGTATACATCTCACTCCCAGCAGCTCATACCAGCACACACACCGCCCCCCAAAAAATGCCTCTCAATGAAGGAATGGCAGAGAGGGCAACAGTGAAGCAGCTAAAAGAGAAATAAACAGCTCTGAGGTCCCTGTGTCTTCCTTTCGGCAAGAACCCTGGGGTCCAGGCACCAATCAATCTCATCCCCTTAGGAAAAAAACAAATAAAAACCCTCACATTTCTAAAGCAAAAACACCTCAGATTCCTGGCCTTTTCATGTCTCCAGACCCACCAGTCAGCCCACCATCAGCTTCCTGCTGCATCAAAGGAACCACTCTTAAGCTCTTATTAATTAGTCTTCATCTTTTTCATCCATGTATTTCTAAGACCTTCCTCAGTCTCCCCCATTCTAAGAAAAAAACAAAAACAAAAACCTATATCTCTTTAAAAAGAAAAAGAAAAGCATTCTTGAAGTTTCCCCTTTACTGCATTATGGCTGATCATTTTATTTGTGCCCTTTAACAATCTGTAATATTTTACTTAGGTCTTCATCATTCGGTTGGAAAAAGCCACCATCACACACACACACACACACACACACACACACACACACACACACACACACACACACACACGAAAGCCAGAGAGACAGAGAGACAGAGAGAACAAGATTTAAAAAACATATCCCCTCCCAACTGCACATATACAGTAATCTCATTATTATCAAACAGATGTCATCGCACTCTGAGTTAGCACATCTGTGATTTCACCCACCCTGATGTCAATACAGGACACCAGCTTTCAAAGGTACTATTCACTATAACACCTTAAATACTGATATCCACTCTCAACTCACTCCAAGCCTTGCACACCACAATCTTGGAGCGGGGGGGGGGGGAGGGGAGGGAGAGCTTGCAGACCACAATCTTGGGGGGGGCTTTCTTTTAATGGCCATCTGGGGCCATTTTCACCTTAGCTTATGTGTCTGAACTATTAAATTCTGCCTCTCCCCGTGTATTTCTTTCTTTTTTGTGTGTGTGTTTTGGTTTTTATTAGTTCTTTGAGAATGTTGTACACCTCACCCTCCTTCCCCAACTCCTCTCAGATCCATTTTCCCTCTCCCCTCCCCTCCCCTCCCCTCCCCTCCCAACTTTGTGATGTCTCCACCACCACCTTCAAGGCCAATTTGTGCTGCCCAAATATTCTCGGCTGTGCAGCCTTCTCCCTGGAGTGTGGTGGACTTAATCACTATTTCTTAAGCCCCATCCGTGCTTAATGAAGTAGCTCGCTGTGCCACCAGCCCAGAGGCCACTGAGTCCTTCACCTCGGGACCCGGGGTCTCTGGGAGGTTGGTGACTGCCCTCGGCCCTCCCACACATGGACACCCGCTCATCCCGGGTGTTCCCCCGGGTGACCTCGAGGGTCCATGTTCACACCCTGCCCCCGGCGGACCCCGCAGGGGCCTACCAGTCGGTGTGCGGCTCGTCGACCACCAGCAGCACCTTGGCCTTCCTGGCAGCGGCCGGCGCGGGCGCATCCACCAGGCCGGCGGAGGCGGCCGTCTGCTTCACGGCTTGCGACAGCGAGCTGAAGAAGCTGCTGCCCACCGACGGCGTCGGTGCGGGCTGCGGCGCGGGCTGCGGCGCGGGCGCCTGGGCGGGCGGCGGCCTGCGCTCGGGGCCGGGCGAGGCGGCGGCTGAGGTGGCCGCCGATGCCGGAGCGGCACCGGGGCCGGGGGCGGGCGGGGGCTGCTGCGGCTCCGGGCGCTGAAGGTCAGTCATGTAGCCATTGGGCAGGTTGGCGATGAAGCTGCTGTCCGACAGCCGGCGCCTCAGGAAGTTCATCATCTGGCTTGAGGAGCTGAGGGCGCTCGAGGCGGCGGGCCAGGCGGCACGGGGAGGGCAGCGCGGGGCGACCGGAGCTGCTCCGCGGCTCGCGAGCCCAGCAGACAGCCGCGGCGCTCTGGGGCTGGGGGACAGTCAGGCTGCAAAACCCGAGAGCGGTGGGCTGTGCTGAGGGCGTGGCTACTGCTGTCCCCGCCCCTCGCCGCAGAGCCCGCTCCGCCCCCGCCCACTCGGCGCGCGCCCCGCCTTTAGGCGCTGGCGTGGGGAGAGGGGAGAGCCTGGCCTCCCGCCACCGGAGCGTGACTGTGTGGGAACCTGGCGCCCTCGCTAAGTGGAGGGGAGGGAAGCCGAGAGTGCACCACCACCACCCCCTGCGTGGTTTGGAGAGGAGAGTCGTGTCCCAGTTGGAGGCGAAGACACCATCCTCAGGTCCTCAGGATAGAAGAGAGGTGTCAGCTTCCCTACCCTGAGGTGAGAGAAAAGAGCCACCCCTCCCTCCCCGGCGCGTGTGCACGCGCGCACACCCAGGCATATCACTCAGTGAGCAAAAGGAAGCATCTCCTATCCTGCAGCGCAGGAGAAAGATGACAAGCCCCAGGTGAGAAAGAACAGGCTAGTCCGTCCAAGCTAACATACAACCTGTATGCTAAGACAAACGTGAGTGAATGAGTGAATGCCTCTTCGTGCTGAATAGGAAAGACCTTCCCCTAACCCAAGTGGTGGGAGTCCAGACACAGTGAAGAGAGGGCATCTCATCCTCCTTGAGGAGGAAGGGACCTAAGCAGGACCTCTCCACACTGCCTGCTTTTGGAGGCAATTTCTGTGGCCCACCTGACAGCGCACAATTCTCTCACCTCACTGACCAGAGAGAGGAAGTCACATGAAGGCTGGGAAGGTCTCCACAGGATTCCTCAGACTACCCCTCACTTTGCTTCCACTGACATGCATTGGTTTGTTTTGTTTTTCCAGCACTGTAGGGAGACTAGTCCTCTAACTGACCATCTCCATGACGGCTTATTTGATTGCCAACTTCTCTGTGCACTCTCTAAATTCTGTGTGTCCTTCAGACCTTTGTTTTGATCTCTCTTCAAGTACATTCGTTCCTATGATGTACTAGGGCAAAATACAGCAGATATACTTGACAGGCAGACCACCTGGAGTGACCCTGAACAAATTACTCCTCTGAACCCCCCCCCCCACAGCTAATAAAAAGAGATAGCACTTTTCAAAGCTGTTAGAGTAAATGATAACATGTCGGCGAAGCATCTGGTACACAGTAGATATTTCAGTAGTGGTGCCTAAATCCTTAGTATTTGAATTAGTTCTCAGTAAGTATTAACTGGGCTGAATGGAATCAGCAAATGTCGGTCATGTCACCAATGTTAGCAGGGTGTTCTTGCTTTGTCCATCCCAGCTGGTACTCAGCTCTGAGCTGGTAGTATCACAGAGGTCTGCAGCCAATTGTGAAAATAAATAAATAACCAATAAGACTGGAAAGCAACCCTTGTCTCTGGTAAATTCACAACTAAGATCTAGGAGATCAAGGAGGATGATATACAGAGATGGGAACAATTAACCACATTGAGATATGAGAAATTCTGTAATACAGCTGAATAAGGTGGATTACAGACAGGATTCATTTGCTTCTGGGGCTTAGGAAAGGCTTCTCAAGGGACATAATATTTAAGATAGGTCTTGAGGCATTTGGTAAAAAGTTAACAGGACTGGAAAGATGGCTCTACAGTTTGGAGCACTTGTTCCTCCTCCAAAGGACTAAGTTTGGTTCCTAACACCCAGGAAAAGTGGCCCATAACCACCTATAGCTGCAGCTCCAGGGGATCTGACACCCTCTTCTGGCTTCCAAGGGTACACACACACATACATATAACATTCACACAGACCTATTGTCTTAGTTGCTGTTCTGTTGCTGTGAAGAGACACAATGACCAAGACAACTTATAGAAGAAAACATTTCATTGGGAGCTTACTTACAGTTTTACAAGATTAGTTCATTATCACCTTGGCAGAAATCATGGTAGCAGGCAGGCTTGTGGACATGGGGCTGAGAGGTTACATCCTGATCTTCTACAGATGTGCAGGCAGGAATGTGGGGGGAGGAGGGAGGGTAGGAGGGAGAGAGAGAAAGACTGACCCCAATATGGGCTTTTGAAACTTCAAAGCCTACTCCCAATGTCACATATCCTCCAACAAGGCCATATCTCCTAGTTTTTTCCAAACAGTTCCACTAACTGGGGACCAAGCATTCAAACATATGAGCCAATAAGAGCCATTCTCCATCAAACTACCATGTACACATACATGTACATAAATAGAAATAATTTTTTAAAGAGTGCATCCATAGAGAAGTAAAGGAAGTATTCATGTCAAGAAGAAATGGATGTCTGTGAGCTCCTGGCTCCTCCAGAATGGGCTGTTTCTATACTGACTATCAGATCTCCTGCAGACATAACAAAATATGCTGGTGACTAGAATATGAACTTTTCAATCATAGTCATCTTTCCCAATATCAAGTATATTCTCTGTCATATAGTAAGGACTCAGTTGTTTAGAATTGAACTTACATAATTCAGTTCTCCCCTACTGAAGAATAAAATTGATGTTACTGATAATCAAATAAACATAATTTAATGTATTTTCCTTCCTAAAAGTTTTTTCATTTGTTTGTTTAGAAAATCAAAGTAATCTTTCCCAAACACGTTTCTCTGTTGGGACTATTTCAGAGACTATGTATGTCTTAGTGTTACTATTGCTGTGATAGAACACCATTACTAAAGCAACTCAGGGGGGAAGGGTTTCTTCAGCTCATGCTTCCACATCACAGTTCACCATCAGTGGAAGTCTGGGCAAGAACTCAAGAGGGCAGGAACCTGGAGGCAGCAACTGATGTAGAGGCCATGGAGAGACTCCTCTTACTGGCTTGCTCATGGTTTGCTCAGTCTGCTTTCTTATAGAACATAGTTTCTTATAGAACATCATCAGCCTAGGGATAGCACCACCCATAGTGGGCTAGGTCCTCCCCCATCAATCACTAATTGAGAAAATTCCCTACAACTTGATCTTAGGGAAGCATTTTATCAATTGAGGTTTCCTCTGTCTGGATAAGTGTAGCTTGTGTCAAGTTGACATAAAACTATCTAGCACATTGTAACTTCTATTTTAGGGCGATTTTGTTATTTTTCTAATGTATTTCACTAAGGAGTTCCCCTGTAATATTGAGCTTGTGTGTGTGTATAGTGTTTTTTAAACCAGCCTATTAAAAATGTCTTTTGAGTGTGTAAAACACATAAGGCATTATATGCTACTGATGATAAAGGAGATTCAAGTATGAATAAGGCCCAAAATCCAGTTTGTAAGTACGTGAGCCCACAATTAGCAGTAGCAGAACTGTCTGTGAGTGACCAGAAAGTGGAACAGGCAGTGAGTGTTAGATGACCCTGAGGAAGAAGAAGTTTCAAGAATGGGAAATTTTATAGGGTGCTAAGGAAACTCCCATAGACAAGAAAAAAATGAAGAAGGCAACTGAGATGGAGGGCAGAACAGGATGGTCAGAGAGTATGAGGGTTGTGTAGCTCTGTTGCTGGCATTGTTATTTTAATCCTTGGACCTTTGTGTGGTATGTGATGTGTCCTGCAGTATTTATAGGGGAGGCTTAGAGAGATTGTTCCCATGTACAGTATTCTCCTATTATCTATAGTTCTGCCTCCCACAGTTCGGTCACCTATGATCCAGAAACATTAAGTAGAAGATTCCAGGGTCACCACTGAACCGAAAAACCTATTTCAACTCCTGGAACTTACATGGCGGAAGAGAAAGCCACTCCCACAAGTTACCCTTTGACTTCCACATGTACACATACACACACTGTTAATAAGAAAATTCCAGAAAGTAGAAAAATACAATTTTTTAAAGTTTGAAATTACATGCTTCTGTGTATTATGATGGAACCTGTGGGATATGAATCACTCCTTTACTGGCACATCTGTGCTGTGGACACTACTAACCCATTATGTCATTTAGTTGTGACCTCTGATATCACATACAGTGTAGTATCTCAGTGTCTGTGTTCAAGTGAACCGAATTCTACTTAATGACCTCAAAGCCCAAGAATACTGGTGCTAACCAGGGAGAAAATGCCAAAGACAAGCCTAAAGGGACTTTAAGAGAAAAGATAAAAGTTCTCAGTTTAATATGGAAAGAAAAAAAATTATATACTTAGGTCACTAACATTATTATACAGTAAAGTATGAAGGTAGAAATCACATTCACATAATTTTATGATAGTATATAATTATCTCATTTTATTATTAGTTATTATTCCTAATTCCTTGCTATGTTGAATTTATAAATTAAGCTTTGTTATAGACATGTCTATATAGGAGAATGCATCATGGTGTATATAGGTGGTTTGGGGCATCCACTAGGGGTCTTGGGATGTATTCACCTCAGATAACTGAGACTTCTCTATGTGCTTATGCCATTGTATACATCCCACCTCAAGGTTAGGAATTGGTTCTGCCTCTTTTAGGGTGATCTACACAGGCTGGTAAAATAGCTATTGGACATGGTGAGAACTACTATTCTCAGAAAACTACTTGACCTTAGAGTCTTCCATTAGATCAAAAATGTGTATTAAAGCACACGCCCTGGGCCCATGGTGGGGGCCACTATGATGAGCAAATATGTGATGGAGACTTGGGAAAGATGGAGTACTTGGTGAAGCAGAGCTGTTAGTGCATTGTGGAGAGAGGTGGGACTAGAGACTCAGAGGTGAAGAACAGGTGGATATGAGGAGCCTGAGCAACTACATGAGACCATGGTGGTGTCCCAGCCCAGGCTTCCACCAAGGACCATCCATGGAGCTCTTTAGCAGCTGGGATCTGTATTGATGCCCATGGTCCATGTTGCTGCCAAAAGCCATTTGGATGTCCATAGTCAGGGCTGCAGACTGAGGCCATGTTAATATACAAGTACCATGCTGAATTTACCCTGACCTTTGCCCAGTATGGAAGAGCTGGCCCCACCCCTCACTGGCTACTGCATGGGGATAGGAGAGACCCATTAAAGACCAACTCAGCTATCACTCAGGCCCAGATTCAGGACCCTGAGTTGGCTAATTCCAACTCCTACCCCTTCT